AAGCACGGACCTATTGGCTTGAATGTCTTGAGGTGAGAATGCGTTGAATGATTTTATCTTTAACTTTCACGTTTCACTCAGTTGCCTTGCTCCGTCTCCCGTCACTTAACACTAGACCAGCCAAACTGTCCGTTTCAACGACAAGCGATACTTGGACACGTTTATCTCAGTCGAGAGCATACCAAATGGCATAATACTTCGCGACTTTGTTAATCGGATTTCTCTGGATATTCAAATGAATATATATATATATATATATATATATGAACACAACAACTTTCGTGAGCTTTATTATTGTTATTATTATTATTATTATCATTATTATTATTATTATTTCAATACGTGGCCAATTACAGAGAACTGGCAAATGTGCCACAACGTATGAGCAAAAAGAAATCTATAGAATGTGTTCATAGGTTGTATGGGCATGTTACTTCTCGGTTGCCTTGACCGAGGATGGAGGATTACCTCGCGGTTCCCACCCGAAGCCTTTGGCTAGAAAGCCGGACCTGCAGGACAACAGGACGGATCCCAGAGTCCGCAATCTATTAAGGAGCCGGTGTCCAGTTCATTGGATCATGCGCTCTTTGGACGGGATCAAACGTCCAAGGTGCCCAGTGCACCTTGATGCCCAATTGAGCCGGTGACCACTGCCAGAACCAGAGAACTGTGCATGTGGTGCTTATGTCTCTTCTTGGTTGGTTTGGAATCAGGGTTTTTAACTAAATCCCCTAGGTGAACTGTCAATGATTCACCAAACCGGTTATATCCCCGGATGTTGGCTTTTCGTCCTCTCATTTTAGAAAACACCTTCGCCACGGGAAAGCACTGAGTGGGTTTTCCTCAACAGTGGCTATTTGACACACTTGGTCATATAGGAGCATTTCGCAAGGTGTAATGGAATGGTGATCAGTCACAATCCGGGATACCCTCCCCGACCATACTGAGGCTTTCGGAGGTTTGTTAGCATTTTAAATATGGATGCACGATGGCGCAACCAACTGCGGTCGATTTTGATCGCAGTTTAAACATCACTCAAAGAATCACATGGCATCCTTAACACCTTGACGCAGTCTACCCAGTCGTGTCTGAAAGCGATAAGTCACAACTGCACAGCGCATTCTGCCAGTCATAAGTCGATACAGTGTGGATGTGCTGTTTATTCAGCATGTGAACCTTCTGGAATGCGTGCTGTGTGGTGCATAAGCTGGGTGTATACTGTGCACTTGCATTCCAATGTTTGTAGAAGAGTGGAAAAGTAGAGGACAACCCTGACGAACATCGCTTCTTGTAGTGAACCCGAGCCGTGCTGTTAATTCGGACTCGGCTTCCGCTATTAGTATCAAGAGACCGCAAAATTGAACTAAAATTCTCGTGGACGATAGAAATGGTGGGTATACGAAAGGAGTGTCTGTGTTGTAGAATTGGACGAACAGTGGAGATGTGATATATATAACCTCAACTAGAACTTAAATCTCCGTATCGAGTGAGAGGATGGATGTAGTCCGTATTATCCTGATGTATTTATCTGTCATTATTTTTGGAGGGTTCACTTCCAGCATTCTTTACATTATTAAAGTAGAAATTAGGGAATAAAACGAATATCAATGTTTGAGGATTCATTCTTAGTTTGATATGTTTTGTACCAATCGTTATCACGGGTCCGTGATTTGTTTGGCACAATCTGAATTTCGACATGTGTGGAGCATAATCATAACCTATTTGGTTCCGGTTTGTAATAATTATTCAGCATTGTACACCTGTAAAATCAATTAATTATCCTTAACAAACGCCGGTGGCTTCTGCACTCAACCATTGAAAAGGATCAACCTATCACAACAGTCGGTTCACGTGAAACAAGTAACGAAAGTGGTTCCTTCCACTGTAAAGCAACGGTTTTACCCTCCCCTCCCTCCATTTTTTCAGAACGGCGTTGAGCGCCACCGGATTAAAGCAGAAGAAAGTCAGATGGATAGCATGCCTGACGCTGCGGAACGTTCAAAACAATACGCCGATCGATATATTAGCTATCTACAAGAACTCGGTCAACATCCAAGCAGTTGTGGTGTGCTTACCGTACGCTGTTTGTTGTCCGCGCAGCAGCACTTTTTGCGTGAGTTCGGATTCGGGGACGCGTTCTGTCGACAGAAAAAGGTAAATACTTTTGTGTTTTCTCTATTTATATGAGTTTTCAACTATCCGCGAACGGTTTGCGTTCCACTTCCGCCCTTTTCCGTGTCTGCCTTATTGTGGTCAGCATCTAAGTGCTGCTGTCAGTCTTGCAGCAATACACGTGCCTGATGCGGGAGGGACTAGACACGATGTAGCGAAGTCACATGAAGAGTATCAGATAATCGTGGTCGCTGATCAACAGGTCAGTCCTGCTTGTGACGATTATCAATGCTAGGGGTTGTGTTACGCACGTGATGTCTTCCGAGGGAGGTAATGGTTGAAAGAAATCAGGGATGGTCGAACTCGATCACTTAAGTCCTGATAGGCTTCCCTATTTATGTCCTCAATGCTTGCAGACAATGTATAACTTAGCTGATTTCACTGAGCAGTTAGGCTCTCGAATTTGTCCACTTTTCCTAATTATTACGGCCACACTCCCTCGGACATTTGCTAATTTTTATTCTATTATTCATTGTCTGACCACATGTAGTCTGTACCATGATAACCACAACCCGAACACGGATTGGGAAGGGTAGTAATTGCACAACTAAAAAAGCGACTAGAAATATGTCCGGTGAACTGCAGTGACTACTAGAAGCCTGCCGTGGTAATCGCTCATCATGCTGTCTGACGTGCCCATGTGCCTCAAATGTTTCAATGATCCGAACGTTGAATATAACCTCAGCTCATCAGGTAGAGTTTGAGTTATGAGCTACAGCTGCGCTTGGGTTAGATTCCTAGGGAGTCAGACAGC